CCGGGGCGGAGAGCTAGCACCGGCCAAAAGTTTGCACGCATGCTGGGGTCCGGCCCATATTGCTGGAGATCTACTTCCGTCTTCCTTTCTCTTAGGGATGGAAAAGGATACATTAGTCAGGCCCATGACTGCATGCCGTCAACCCGAGGCCATGCGGGTCTGCGTTAGCAGATGGAGCAGGTCAGCTCAGTCACAGAGCTGCACTGGAACCACGATGTGGCTGAGCATCTAGCGGTCTGCTGCCATGCTCTGGGGTCGAACTAGGGGATGGGTGGTGTGAACGGCAAAACATTTGGCTACTAACCGGAAGGTTGTCAGTTCAAACCCATCCTCAAGAGTCTCATCAGCAACACCGGGTGATCTGCTTCCCAGAGGCTACAGCGCTGAAAGCCCTCGGAGCACCGTGCTCTGACGCACACAGAGACGCCAGGAGAAGATGGGACCCCCTGCCCTGTCTGTGTCTGTGAGAGCTTCAACGCCACCTCCCCCACAATGCAATCACCCTGACCCCACAGGCCAAGGAGTCAGCAAGGGGGTTCTGCTAGCAACAACTGCGCATTTGGAGACCGTGGAGATGACCATGGGGTGAGCCTGTTGGCCAAGCCTGCACTGATATGCACCCCAAGCTTCCTCCCTAACAGAGCGGGCAGGGGCGTGATCCGGACCCCTGGTTTTCCAGGGCAGATTGCAGCCTGGTTCCCACAGCTCTCTCGATGCCCATCCATCTCTCCAGGGTGCAGCTAGTGAGTAGGCGGAGGGGGGAGGGAATAGAGCCATTGGATGCTGAATCACAGTGATCCTATAGGACAGGGTAGAGCTGCCCCTGTGAATTTCCAAAACTGTAACTATTAAAGGGAGTAGAAAGTTCCACCTTTCTCCTGTGGAGCAGCTGGTGGTTTTGAACTGCTGACCATAGTCCCTGAAATTCTGTCACCTCACCCCAATCCCCAGAGATTGAGGAGTCTCATGCGGCAGGTGTCTTCTTTCTCCAGATCACCACAGAGAGCAGGTTGGCACCCTCAGACGCCGTCCGAGGGGGCTCACTGTGCTGGTGGACAGGGCCACCTGGCCCCACAGTCTAGTGTGCAGCCTGCTGAAGTGGGGCACTGGCTTCTAGAGGCTGCTTGGGATCCAGAAACACCACCCACCAGGGCGCCAGGGCGCGGCATGGGCAGAAGGAGAGGCAGGGCCTCACGTAGCCCATCCTGCCGGGGCGTGGGCTGGTGGCCGTTTGCTCCCACTTTCCGGACAGAAAGGCAGAACGGCATGTTGCCCATCCGGTTCCTTCCCACCATCGCTGCGACCGTAGCCTGTCATCGCAGCCACTGGGCCAGTCCACCTCACAGAGGGCCTTCCCAATGACCACGCGTGATGTCCTTCTCCAGGGAATGGTCTCTCCTGTTGACATGCCCCAAGTGCCTGCGCCCTGCCTGCACCTAAGGAGCCTCCTGGCTGTTCTTCCTCCAAGATTCAGTTAGGTGGCCCTGGACGGAGGCCCGGAACTAGGTCTTTCTTGAGTTATACCAACCAGCAAGCGGGCGAGGGTGGGCAGGGGGTGGGCGGGGAGAGGGCAGGGGAGGGACTGGGGCGGATGCAGTCCACTCTGGCCTCTGGCAGGAAGGAATTGCTGTAGGAGCAAGTAGATCCGCTTTGAGTCAGCTCTATCGCTTTTCAAAAGCAGCCCTGGTGGCACCGTGGGTTTGGTGCTGGACTGCCGACTTTGAGGTCAGCGGTCCAAAGCCACCAGCTGCTCTGCAGGAGAACGACGAGGCCCCCACAGTGACGGCGGTCTCAGAAACCTTCCACGGGGTTGCCACAAGTCAGAATGGTCGCACGCAGTGGTTTTGACATGGACTCACTACAAACATGCAGGGCAAGAGCTCAGCCCTCAAGGAGAAAGAGCCCTGGTGGTGCAGTGGGTTAGGTGTTGGGCTGCTAACTGCAGCAGTTTGAACCCACCAGCCGCTCCTTGGGAGACAGACGAGGCTTTCTACTCCTGCAAGGAGTTCCAGTCTCGGAAACCCACGGGGCAGCTCTGCTCTGCCCCAGTCAGAATTGACCCCTCGCGGTGAGCTTTATCGATCTATCTACACGATTTATTTATTGTTGTTTGCTTGTTTGTTTTAATGAAAAAGGAGGTTTTTTTTGTCTAAAACTGTCAGCGGCTCCACCAGAGAATGTCCTGACTCCTGGCTCCTGTAAAGATCATGGCCTAGCCAGGCCTGTGGGGCACGGCCACGCTGTTTGTCCACGGGGCGTGAGGCACGGGCTCCCCGGCTGCCTGGCCAGCCCCCACCTCCTCTGCTCCTCCCCCAGGTGTGGAATCAGAACGGCAGGAGCCCCTCCATCACCTTTGAGTACACGCTGCTGCAGCCGCCGCCGCCGCGCACCCACCGCCTGCCCTCGGGATACTTCAGCTTCCCCCAGCCAGCGGGCGGGAGCGGTGAGAGCCGGGAGCTGGGTGGCACTGCCCTGCTGGGCTTCGTGAGCCACAATGGCTCCCTGTACAGCCCCCCGGGGTCTGCGGAGGGCCTGGGCCTGGACCACCAGCTGTTCGGGGCCCCGGGGCCGGAGCTGGGCCTGGCCAGGAGCCCCGAGACCAACGAGGTGTGCGAGGAGGCCAGCGACGGGGTCTGCGAGGGACCTCCCAGGGGCAAGGACTTCCGAGGTAACCAGGTGTGGTCAGCTGGCCTCTTGGCGGGGGTTTCCTGGGGGAGAAAGTGTCGGGAGGAGGGGTCCTCAGCTCCCAGGATCTGGACAAGGTTGATGAGGGGTGTGGTCTCTGACAGAACTCCTGTGGCCCTCAGTCTGTCCTCGGAGGCAGGTACAGAGGGGGAGACTGAGGCTCAGGTGGCAGAGGCCACGTGCCCTAGACTGGCAGATGCCCCTGCAGGAGCCGGATAAAGCCTAGGCCAGTCAGATGCCCTGTGGTAGCCAGCGGGGGAGACAGGGCTACCACGTGGTGGTGGTGCGAGATGGAGAGCCACGGGGGTCCTGGAGGGATCTCAGAGAGGGTGATCTCTGCTTGACTGGTGGGACAGGAAGAAGCAGATACAAGACTGAGGTGGAGCTCTAGGATGGGCTCTGGGGGGAGACTGGGGACCCAGGTGAGTTAAACTGGAGTCCAGCCCCCTGAGAGAGATGCTGGGCGCTGGCTGTGCTCCTTAGGGTAGCGAGTGATTTCCGGCTCACCGTGGCCCTCCAGGACAGAGGAGGGCTGCCCCTGGGGGTTTCCCAGAATGCAACTCTTTCCTGAGACAGACTGCCTCACCTTTCCTCATTGTAGTAGTTGGGGGGTTTGAACTGCTGCATGTGTGATTATCAGCCTACAGTATGAGCCTTCCGCAGGGCAGGGCCATGGGAGCGTGAGGCAAGGCTGCTAGTCAGGTATGCTTGGGTCAGCTTGCTGGAGGGGTCTCTGAGCAGACACAGGAGGGCCGAGGCTCCTGTCCTGTGCCTGCTCTAACCAACAGGGCGGGTGGTGGTGGTGGTGGGGCTCTCAGCAGCAGTTTGCTCTCTCCGAGCTGTGAGGCCCCGAAATCTGAGGTCCAGGTGTGAATAGGACCCTGCCCCCCGTCAATGGCAGGGGGATGGGGGGACATCCTTCCTGTCTCTTCTGGCTTCCCGGGCCCAGGTGTTCCTTGGCCTGTGGCTGCTTGCCATCTCCCCCACCTCTGCTCCACCGTACCCCGACTGTGTCCTCTCTGATAAGGACACAGGTGGTTGAGCTGGGACCCACCCTGCACCAGGGCGGCCTCCCTCACAGAGGCTCATATCTAAGGAGGCCCAGGGTTGCCCAGGCTGCCTTGCCTGCCCTGGTGGGAGCCCACTCCTAGTCTTGAGCTCTCTGAGGCCTCCGGCTCCAGCGTCCTGGTTCCTGGTTAGCCTTTCTTCCAGACTGCCCCTGACCTCAGCGCCTAGGGAGCCTTGGACGCTGAGCCCCCTGTCCCTCTCCTGTAGACCACAACGCCACGGGGACTGCTCTCTCGGGGGACCAGGATGGCCAAGAGGGTGGCGCTCGGTTCACCTCCCAGGAACTCCTATCGGCCAACGCCATCTCCGACCGGCTCCTGGGGGCGGGCTCTGACTCCAAGGAGCTGGCCCTCAATGAGACTGCCAACAGCATCTCGGTGCAGAGTGGCCCGAGGCGTGGCCCAGCCGAGAGCGTGCCCGTGAACCTGGAGGAGAAAGAGGGCATGGGCACCCACCTGCTCAACGGCTCCTACTTGGAGCTGAGCAGTGACAGGCTGGCCAACACCTCGTCGGAGGTCCCACTCCCCAACACCAGTGCCAGCCTCCCCAGTGTGGCCGGGAACAGGACCCACAAGGCCAGGTAGGCGCCCGGGCCCAGGTGGCCCCAGTGAGGGATGGCTGGAAGGATCAGGTGTCTAGAGGTCAATCAGGCAGGGCCACTGGACCCTAGATGGAAGCCCTTGGTCTAAGCAGAAGGTCATCCACAGTCATCGCCAGGGCCCTTGCCTTCCCTCGAGGATCCATTGCATCAAGGCTGGTGACGTGGGTACTGCCAGGCCAGCCTCTCTGGGGTTGGGCAGGGATTGGAGGGAGATAGGCCGTCACGCTCCTGGGCTTGGGGCAGCACACACGCATGCCCTTCGGCTGGGGCCTGGGCCAGGGTACAGAGACCGGTGTCTCAGGGGACTCAGTGATGGGCTAATGAAGATTTGGTGTCTGTTCAGCCCTGGTGGCATAGTGGTTGCGACTGGTCTGCTCACAGCAAAGTCAGCTGTTCAAAACCGCTAGCCACTCCACAGGAGAAAGACGAGGCTTTCTGCTCCTGTAAAGAGTTAGTCTGAGAAACCTACAGGGGCAGTTCTATCCAGTCCTGAGGGGTCACTGTGAGTAGGCACCGCCTCGAGAGCAGGGAGTTTTTCTTCGTGGGGTTGGAGGGACATTTTCATCTGCCTGCAGGTAGCAAGAGCAGGGACACTGCCCCCGGCTTCCCTTCCGCAGCCTGTTGCCTGAGCGCCACGCCCTGTGGGAGGCCTGGGTGGTGGTGGGTTTCTGACGAAATCTTCTGCAAATGCAGCCAGAGGGGGACCCTGGAGCCTCATCTGGGGCCCGAGAGGGTTGTCTGACCCTCCAGGCGGGGGCTGTCAGAGTTGGCTCAGACTCACGGTGACTCCGGAGGACAGTGCAGAACTGCCCCGTGGGGTCCCCGAGGCTGCCACGCTTTACGGGCACAGGTGGGATCATCTTGCTCCTGTGAGTGGCTGGTGGTTTCCAACTCCTGGCCTTGCTGCTGGCATCCCAGCGTCATCGCTGGGCCACAGGCGTGGGAGATGCCAGCTGCCATGCAGGAAGGGGGTCAGCCCTTGGGGCTCCACCTAGCTCTGCCGCCCCACCCCCACCTTGCCCTCCCGTAGCCACCTCTAGAGCCCCGCCGGTCCCTCAGGGACCCCCTGAGCTTTTAGAAGCCAACATTTACAAGTCTGCCCAGTTCCCATCCCTGTAGGATGTCACCTTGTCCCTGGGGTAGAGACCCTGTCTGAGGGTGTAAGGACCAGTCTGCTTCCCAGGTGTCCGAGTGGAGCCCCCACCCTCCCACTCCGCAGCCAGAGCCATGGACGCTGGACCCGGCTGTGACCAGCATGGTCTGGGAGACATGGCCTAGGAGGGGCACAGGAAAGGGCTGGACAGAATAGGGGGTCCAGCACGTTGTCCAAGCACAGGGCAGGGGGGCTGCTGGAGGGGAAGGTGAAGGGAGAAGGATGTGCGGGAAGGGAAGGCCATTTTCTCAGACAAGCTCCAACCATCCAGGGAGGGGCAGCCACCCCCACACACCCCACACACCCCTCCCCTGGGCCTCTAGGATCAGAGGCTGGAGGGCCGGACAAAGCACCTCTCTGGTTGGCTCGAAACAAACACCATCCCTCAGAAGGCCCTGGGTGGGGGTGGGGGGTGGGACACTGGGTTGGAGGTCACCCACCCGTGTCAGCAGGCCTGATCTCCAGCTGGACTAGGGGTGGGGGAGGGTGGCGAGGGAGGCTGGTGGCCCAGCGGTTTGTCAGCATTTGGGGCTGAGGTGTGACTTCCAAGAACAGAAGGCGCCCTGCGCTGCTACGTGGTGTCCTGTCAACATATGCTGGAGCCCCCACCCCGCCCCCACCCCAGTGCTGGCATGAAGGGTGCTAAGTGGGCAGAACACCTTTTGTGCTTGAGACCGGGGCTTCATTCCAGCAGGCCCCGGCTCTCTCCCTCTGAGTCACGCAGCCTGTGTGTGATTGGATAAAGATGGGGGCGGGTCTCTTTGCCATCTTTGCTCTTGGGGAGACTGGAGAACTGTTGAAAGGCAGGGTGGGCCCCAGTCGGCACCCCGCAGTGTCCCCTGCGCTCTCCTGTCCTCAGAGGCCTTGCTGAAGGCGTGCTGGGGTCTCAGCGCAGTGCGTCCAGTCCTGCCATCCCTCACTCTCGGTGGTCTCTTCTCCGGGATGAGGAGAGAGAACCCTTTCCCTTCTCACCCGAGACCTGCTTGGGGGGGTGGGGCTCAGAAGAGGGGCATCATTTGGGGCCACCTAGAGTTCTCAGGAAGAGATGTGCCTTCAGCGTGAGCATCTGGAGGAGATAGGTGTCCACACCCCCACCCCCCACCCGCTGCCCAGCACAGCTAAGGGCAGGCGTCACACCCCTGTGGAAGTCCATAATGGAGAGACACCCCGTGGGAGCCAGCAGGGAGGACCTGAAAGCCCTTTGGCACATTGGTCAGCGAGCCCCCACTGGCCTGCCTCCTCTTCTCCCTCTGCTGGCCTCAGACAGGAAGTCAGGTCCAGGCAAGCACCTGCCCAAGTTCTAGCCCTGGGAGGGTCAGCACAAGAGGTCATTTAGTTGGCCTCAGGGGACCCAGGGTGCTGACCATCTGTCCGTCTGTCTGTCTCCCCTGGCTCCAGCACATGCTGGCAGTGGCTCTCAGCGCAGACACCCTGAGTTACCGGGGCTGCTGCCCCGCCCTGCCCTGGCTGGGTCCCACGTGGGCCTGATCCCGCTGGGCTACGCTCACAGATATAAGAAAGCCCTGCACTTGCCCCAGGCTTTTCTGTGGGTCAGCTGGGGCCCAGGGTGGCTGTGCTGCTGGGAGGGCCCATTCCTGTGTGCAGCCCAGTGGCTTCCTGTTGTCTATCGAGAGGGTGCAGCCGGTGTCCCCACCCAGCGAGAAGCCACTGGGGGAGGCTGGCCCACTTGTGGGTGCATTCTGGGCCATGGGGGACCCCGTGGCCCTTTTCAGGTGGGAGTTGGGCTCCACACGCTGGCCTGGGCAGGATGTGTGGTGGTGGGGGGGGTAGTGCCGGGCTGCGATCCGCAAGGTTGGCGGTTCAAACCCGCCAGCTACCTGTCTGCGGAACGCTGAGGCTGTCTACAACTGAAGACCTCCTGCCTTGGAGACCCCAAGGAGCAGCTCCCCACCGCCCTGGGGTGGGAAGGGACTCGCTGGAGTTGGCTGTCTTTGTTGTGCCCCCTCCAGGAGCGGGCACCGAGTAAACACCCCCCCACCCCCCTTTGCTCCACTGTCAGGACCAGGCCCAAGGCCCGGAAGCAAGGTGTGAGCCCGGCGGACATGTACCGTTGGAAGCTGTCGTCCCACGAGCCCTGCAGCGCCACCTGCACCACAGGTACTGACTGGTCGCAGAAGCTGTGGCAGACGGGGCCCAGCCCCATACCTGGCAGGCCGTGGGACGGACAGACAGGCGTGATGGGCCACTCAGTGTCCAGGCCTCCCAGCTCGCCCTCCGGGCTGTGCTGCCCACTTCCTGTTGCAGCAGACCTTCTGTTCTTTGGGTTCAAAGACAGAAATGGCAAGTGGTGGCGTTGCTGCTGTGTCCCGTGAAGGCAGAGGAGGGGAGAGGAGCAGACCTCCTCGGTGATGCCTGGACAGACAGACGTTTGTGCCCTGAGGCCAGATCCTGGATCTGTTGCCACATGTGGCCACAGCTCCCGCCACGCCCTGCCCCAGGGTACCGGGCACTGTCAGGGGGTGGACCAGAGGCCACCTCTGAGGACTGGTTCAGTCAAGACCAGGGACTTCCTGTTGGATTGCCTTAGGCAACACCAGGGGCTGCACCAGAGGTCAGTCAGTGCTGACACCCCCAGATGGATGGCGAGGAGAACCAGACAAGTGGGGTGTCACCAGATACCAGGCCATGGGCAGCATCCTGGGAGCTGGGCAGACTTCAGGACTCAAATCCTGGGCTCTGCTCCCACGCCGGGTGTGTGGCTCCTCTTGCTACCAGAATCCCTGAAGCAGATAGGGAGTGCAGGCCATGCTGGCTGGGAGGACAAGCCTGGGGGCAACATCTGGGACTGGATCATTGCAGCTTCTCCCAGCCTCAGCTTCCCGCCGGTGGAATGGGCGTGCACCTGTCTTGCAAGTGGCTGGCATAGGGGGAGCTGGTCAGCAGGCTCTGGACTGGCCAAGGTAACGGGTGGAGCTGAAGCATCTAAGCCCAGCTCTAACACCCAGGATGTTCCCAGAACACCCGGGGCGCCCGTGCCTCCCACCAGGCTGAGGGGCGGTGGCAGTGATCAAACAGGCATCGTGGAAGGGTGGCAATCCCCCGGGAAAGAGGAGGGGATGGGCGGACAAGACAAAGCCATTTCTCTGGGGAAACTGGTCCTTCAGGCTCTGCTTCTGCAGCGAGAAGGGGCAGTGCTGGCCCAGGCCCGTGCCTCGAGGATGGCTTCACAGCAGCCAACAAATATGACGCACCCTGCCCACCTCTCTGCCCCCAAGGGTGCCCGGCCCCTCCACCAGGGTGTCCCCGATGGGGGCAGGGTTTGCCAACCTCGCAGGGGTGTTGGGACTCACTGTGCCAACTACCCATGGAACCCGACCCTGTGACTGTGGTTCAAGGGATCTGGCTGGGCCAGTTGCTCTCAGGTCCCTGACCCTGTAGGAACTGCTCCCAGGGCCCGGCTCCAGATGAGCTGCTCCGGGGTCCCTGGCACACGTCAGTGCCCCACCCCTAGTGAGGGTGAAGCTTCCAGCAATAGTGGACAGTGTTCGTTCAGGAGACCCTTGGGTGGCCAGTCTGTGACTGGTTCAGGTTCCTTGGCCTTTGCCTTTGGGTGAGGCTGTGTGGCACGTCCCAGCCACACACTGGCTGGCTGCCTCTGTCCACTGCTGCGTGGCTGGGCCCTCCCTGCCCACCTGTGGTCCTAGAAAGAGCTCCGTGACTAGAATGCTCTGGTGACTTGGTGGTGACACTCACAGCGGCCTACAGAAGGGTCAGCAGCCCCCCCCACCCACCCCCAGGCCCACCAGCCACTCCAAGGGAGGACGCGGTGCCCATCTGCTTCCCCATTGAGGGCAGCTCTCCTATGTCCTACAAGGCCACTGCAAGACAGAGTCCACCAGAAGGGTGCAGAGGAGGAAGAGGGGTGCAGAGGGGGGGAGGTACAGAGAGCTGACCCTCTAACATCTCTGGGAGATGAAGCCCCGTTTTAGGAGTGAGCCCCCTGAGGCCTGGGTTGCTGGCCTTCCAGCCGGGTTGAGGGAACTGGGACATGAACCCCAGCCACCTTGACCACGACCTGTCCCATCACCCTCTAGAGGTTGAGGGCTTGTCTCCAGGCCCCAGGCTGGCGCCCCTGAATCAGGGAATATTCTGGCTCTGACCTTTAAGGGGAAAGATGACCCATGCCGGCTGCTGGGGGGTGGCTGCTGGACAGGCAGGCCTGGCTGGGGCTCTCGTGAGTTGGAGAGGAAATGGGGCAGGGGATGTGGGCTGCTAGGGAATCGACTTCCTTTTGGGGGATGGCTTCCCAAGTAGGGGTGCTCTTTGCCTCCATCACCCCAAGATACTGGGTGTAGTCTGCCTCTTTTTGGCACTTTCTCTCTCTGACACACACACACTCTCTGATTCTTTCGCTCTCTCTTGCTTACTCAGTACATAGGAAGTTTGCACAGGGTTTGAGAGGTCGGGGTCCCCACACAGAGCCTTGGGTGTGCTTGTCTCTGCACGGGTCACTTTGAATTCCTTCCAAGTGACCTGGGGGCCCAGCCTGGGTGCCGAGACACGTGGTCAGACCCTGGGATGGGGGCCCAGCAGTCCCCCGCTCCCAGCTCCCCGTCAGACTCTGAATGACTCCCCCAGCCTGTCAGCTGGACCCCTGGTTCCTGTTGCAAACCACATAGATGGCCCTTTCCTTCGAGCCCAGGGGTCATGTCGACGTACGCTATGTGTGTCCGCTACGATGGCATCGAGGTGGACGACAGCTACTGCGATGCCCTGACGCGCCCTGAGCCTGTGCATGAGTTCTGCACTGGGAGGGAGTGCCAGCCCAGGTAGGGCAGTGCCAGTGGGCAGGTGGGGGGGAGGGTCAGGGGGAGGGCGTGGGAGATGGGCTGGATGCTCAGGGTGCAGGAGAAGAGGGGGCAGCCAAGGGGAGGACCAGAGGAAGATGGGGGGGAGGACTGTGGTATCCAGAGGGTGGGCATTTGGGAAGGCTAGGGAAGAGCTGGGCTCAAGGGCAGGGGGAGGGCACTGTCCTCGCCGGGGTGACAGCTGGCGGCTGAGGGTCCTGGCCATGCCTGGCAGGTGGGAGACCAGCAGCTGGAGCGAGTGCTCGCGCACCTGCGATGAGGGCTTCCAGTTCCGCATTGTGCGCTGCTGGAAGATGCTGTCGCCCGGCTTCGACAGCTCCGTCTACAGCGACCTGTGTGAGGCAGCCGAGGCCGTGCGCCCGGAGGAGCGCAAGACCTGCCGGAACCCGGCCTGCGGGCCCCAGTGGGAGATGTCTGAGTGGTCCGAGGTGAGCAGCGCCC